TAGTACCTCGTGGTTCATTCTGTCAAACGTCTTGTTAAAGTCGTTGTACACCACGTCAACAGCCTTCCGTTCGTTGACAGCTCGTACCCACTGGTGGTTTGCGTACATCAAGTTAGTGACGCAGAATCGCCCTTTAGTGAAGCCGTGTTGCGCTGGTGTCAATGCGTGCGTCGATTCGAAGAACGACAGCAGACACCTTTACACAACCTCTAGAACTCTGAACAATATTGAAGTTAAACAGATCGGTCTGTGGTTCTCTAGTTTACTCGGATCACCACACTTGGGAGGCGGTTTCACTATCGAGCATTTCCAGTCGTTGGGGACAGATCCTTTAGAGAGTGATTTATTGAATAGGTTTGTCACGGCTGGCGAGAGGACATTCGTTAGGGACTAAAGTAGTAATGGGTAAAACTCGTCTGGTCCGGGGGGTTTTGCACCATCGAGGTTGACGAGTAGATGATACACTTCGTCTATATCACATTGTAACCTGTCAAGCAAGACTGGCGCAACTTGCGCCGGTATTAGAACAGCCGCCGGTTTACTGGAAAATACGGTGAGGGAGTGCGAAACCAAGGCGACCGCGTGTCCCGCGCAAGAAATGATCGTCTCTCTGTTCAAGCTATCTCAGACCGGTAGGTTGCCCTCAGATTTCAGTCCACGTTTCAAGTAGGCAAATACTCTCTCGGGGATGGTTGTCCCTGAGAATGTTAGCTCCTCTTGGAACTACCGGCGTTTCTTGCCCTTTGAGGCGTTACGTAAGTCACGCTGTTTCTTGTACAACGTGTACTCTTCATCACAAACCGAGATGATGTATCTATCCCGAAGTTTGCAACACCGTCGTGTCAACTGTTTATATTCCTTAGCAAACCAATTTGGTTTGACAAGTCCGGATTTGAATACTTCAGGGGAACGAACCGAGTATACAGAGAGTTAAGCTTCCTCTTCATTAATGACCAACAGGCCTCACGCGACTTATCCTGTAATAGTGTCCAATCAGTCTCACTTACGGTTTGGACGAGCCCGTTGAAGTCCGTCTTCCAATAGTTGAATGTCGGCTTCCGTTGGTTGTAATATGGTAACGGCAATTCTATGCTTGCCTCAATGGAGCAGTGGTCACAGTTCGCTAGAAGTTCGAGGACACTGATCTCTTTCAGATTCTGCTCGCCGCTCGTCAACATTAGGTCCAGACTGTTGTGTGGCCCTCCGAGAATCAAGAAGAAAGTCTGGGCAGCGATCACAAATCTGTTATTAAAGAAACACTGGGCAGTTTTATACTTTTACGTTACTATGCACTGAACCATTTTTCAGGGATCGATACTTTCCGGTGGTTTGCCTGTGTTCATCGCCTGACGCCCAACTTTTGTTCTTATCCGTGTGGACTAGTCATAGCTTCTCTGGGACAGTGGCGCGCTTTGTCTATGCCTCCAAGCCATTCCTGCCCGTGCGCCGATTGGCTTGTTTTCTGCCGCCTCTGTCGGTTTTCCGCTTGGCCTGGTAGCCGTCCACGTGTGATGGGTATTGTGTCTGGAACCTGCGTAAGCCGCCGGCGACTCGGTTGGGTTAGACCCGGGCAAAGGGCGTGATTGACGCACCACACCGCAAACCGATCCCTTTTGTCTATCCGGCTTTGTTGTATTGTTGGCCGCCCTTCCAGTTCGCTTGCATTGTCAGCTACCATCACATCCTTTCTTTTTCGTTTCTTTGCAGTTCGATTCTATATGCTCCATACTGTCTTCCGATGCGGGTGACTTTGTCGTCCTGGGCCGAAATGTCAACTGGCTCGTTTAGTTGATGCTGCTCCTCCCGTGGCCCAATCTGTCCACTTCGTTGTCTCCTCAGTAGTACTCGGTTCCGTTGAATAACACTATTCTCGATCCTTACAGCATACCTTCTCTCTCAATTTCGATGTTCAATAAATCCCTTCCTCCAACGTCTGTCGGGGCCCGGAATTGGTCCCACCCACACCTCGTCTCCCGGTGCTCGAGGTGGAAGTTGACCTGATCCACGGTTATAATATCTTCCTTATCGCAGCATTCTGTTGCGTAGACGGTCTTGTATAAGAGTATTCGAAGTTATTTCTGGCTGTAGTAAAATTTTAGCTGTTGGCAGTAACTTCCTGGTCCTACGGCTAAAAAGGCGTTGAGCTGGACTCGCCCCAGTTTCAGCGGATGGCGTGTTGCGCCTTTCGAGCAACATGAGGTAGGGGTCTTCATGATCATAGTAAGCAGTTTCTTTGCTTCCTTGACCGCTGACTCCGCCTTTTCGTCCGAGTGGCTGTGATACGGGCTGGTGAGCCAGTGCAGAAAATCCCACTTCTTGCTGAAGTTGCAGAATTCTGCACTACTAAATTGAGGGCCGTTGTCGGAAACCACTTCCTCCGGAATTCCGTGCCGAGCGAACTGACATAAATAAATAAAGAGTTTATTCTCAAATTTATAGAGACACACCAAATTAGGTTTGTTCACGACGGCTTGCGCGCTGGTCGTAGAAACTGCATCAATCTCGAAGTAATCGATCACAATCAGGTAATTTGTTCCATCCTGAGTGAAAATATCCACAGAGACGTTCTGCCAAGGTCTTACCGGGATTTCGCGTAGCATCTTGAGTACTTTCGGTTGCCGCACTTCATGTGTTCGGCATGGCAAACAATTTGAAACATAATCGCCTACCTCACTGATCATCCCGGGCCAAAACATTAATCTCGAGGTGCATGAACCTTATGTCCAACAACTTTCGAAAACGAAGCACAAATAGCTTGAGAAGGCATGAGAAGATAGAAGAAATTCAAGAATGCGGACACAGACGGCAGTTGGGCCAATCAATGAGACCTCCGGAATTAGCCAGAGAATATCCACCAAATGTTCATAGATTGAAAAATACAATAAAAGAAAAATAGTGGTGCACAGTTCACACAGAAAAACACGATAACTCAGTAATCGGAAGCAAAAGTAGAACCTAGCACACGGCGATTCAAAAATCCGCGCCGTTCGTGAGTTCAAACAAGGAGTGTAGCTGTAGATTTGCACGCGTCGCTAGAACCGGTAGAATGAGCAACAGAGTATGATCATGATCCAGGTTCGTGCTGGAAACAGTCTGATATGCACCTCCTGCAGATGATGACAAAAAAGTCTGCTAGACACAAGGCAGTGATGCGGACACCTAGGCTGGAAGGCGATGCTGATGCAAAGCCTATGGTCGACAGGCAAGTGAACAAATAAATTGCCAGTAACAGGCCGGTAGGCATCGACTCCCAACAGCAACGAGCATGTTGCGTGTATAACTAAGTGTACGTCGGTATGTCTGCTATGGCTATCGAATGGTGAAGGGTCTGTGCGACGCGTGACTCAGTTCAAGTTATGTTCACAAGTTACTAATCCGTTGTGCGTCCAATGTTACCTTTCACTTGTACAAAATACCTATCTTGTTATACAGCCACGTTTTCTGGTTGTAACGGAGCGTAACAGTGAACACTTGTGTTGTGAGGAAGTGATGTTGGTTCTAAGTTTGTGGTCAGTATACAGAATAAGCGAATAAACCAAGCGTCATTAGCAGTCCAGTAGACATCGACACACCAAATTTCGCTGGATAAGTGATACATTTAAATTGATGACAGAATTCGTCCTGATGTCGCCTGCGCTAAGGTCGGTGGGAGCATTTACCTAGAAGATAACAAGGCATCAAAAAACTCAAGTCAAATGTCAACTTCTATACAGGTTTGATGTGGAGCCGCACATAGGATTATTCACCGGAATCTATTGAGCTAATGTGTCTACATCTCTCTAATAGGGATAAACATGACACTGCGACCACCACAATCGTTCACTGGAAGTCAATGGACATACGAATAATATGGCCCATATCATTGGAAGGCGATCCATGCATTCGACGGTTCGTTGTGACGCCATTATCTTGCAGTTGTGTTTCGGTGACACGGCGCGCAACAATTCCGTGCGAAGACATGATAGAAACAAGCGTCTCCTATGCACCGAACAGGCAGGTAAAGCAAACGCTTAGAGAACCATAATGAAATGAGGAAAGCTGAAATATAGCGATATCAGTTGTTCCCTGACATTAAAAAAGGTGACGTAGGACGGAGCAGAAACCGTCAACGGGGGAGCCTAATGGTGGCCGAGTGTCTACTCCTGGGGAACGGTACTGGCTGAGGGTTTATACCTCAAGCCTAACTGAGTGGTCTGATCTACAAAGTAGCGTGGAGCAATCCCAGTTCGGGAGTGACTGCGGATCCCCGCGAAAGGATCTGATTGTAGTAGGCCAAATACAAATGTGAATACTGTATGACAAATTATACATACACCTTAACCGCATCAGATACCATGCCTGTCGACCCGAATGAAAACATGCGTGTGGCAGAAAACAAGTGACGGGCTCCGACATTGTTAGAAGCATTCAGATGAGCCGGCGATACGCGATAGTGGAGGAATTCACATCCTAAGCTGCAGATTATTGTCATGGGTGCGGATCGGCTATGCAGAGCGGAAAGCGCGATTAACCGAGAACGCGAGTGTGCCGAAAACCCGACACCCCTTGAGGATGCGGGGCACATGTAAGTGTGCAAAATAAGAAGGATAACAGTCGAGCTGACTAGCGAGCAGAAATACTGACAGACGCTTGCAACCATGTCACACCGCTCAATGTGAACGAAAACTGTCTGATTGGCGAGAAGTCGGAAGTAGCGCGAAAAAAATCCAATCATAAGATTCAAACGCTTTTCCAGACCAGTTCCGATGAACAACACATGCTAAACAGGCTTAATCTGCTTTTTCCACCAAACTTGCAATCAAAATGAAATATTCATCGGGATGTGAATGAACAGTGTGGTATCATTTGCCAAGTTTCGAGTCGTAAGTTGGACCGTGCCAGAAACATTGAGATATTCAGTGACGGAAGGCGATGCTGCCATGATGTGAATCAAGTCGAGTAAAAAGACGGGACGAGCGGATAGGTAAAATATGAAGGGAAGGTGAAATACAATAGCGTACCAGATTCCTTTAATATCCGCCACATGGAACACCTGATCGTCGTCTATAGGGATACCTGATCCTATGATTCGCAGACTTTCCTCGCCAGGGCTCGCTGTTGGGCTTGGTTGAGCCAAATCCAGACCAGTTCGATCAAAAAAGCACATACGCAAGTACTTCGGTTCTTGTTCAATATTCACAGATAAGAAAGCGGGCTCCCATCGATCGGTGTTAGTGGCCATCGCCAGAACGGGGAACTCGGTACGATAGTCACTGGGGTCGCGGTTGTTAGAATAAGTTGGGGTGACTGGTTTCGGATGAAAGGAAAACAGGATATAAGATGAAAAACGATTCGTCCGCGTTTCTCATCAGAAAAGTGTAACAAAAGATGACATGACTACAGATGCAAATTGTTAGAGAATATCGGTTGGGAGAAGAGCTGTCAAAATCAAATAAAAGTACATGGGAAATTCGGGAAACAAACAGAAGCGTGGTGTAAAATGATAATTAAACATACCCTTTTTGAGCTTTCCAACGCCGTCAGGAGTTTCAGAAGAGTCAACAGAAGACAGAAACTCCATCCAAAAATCGAACAGCTAAATCATAGAATCAAAAGATAATAAAAACGTTCAGAAGTTATCGTTCGCCTATGTAGCGAAGCAAGAGAACAAAACCACATAGGGAGACATCGTCAGGAGCATGGGTTGGAAGAAGCCATGCATCTGCGACGCAGCCTTGTGGCTCATACAAACAGAGTGGTGTATATTGCCTTACACTGAAGAACTAAGCAGGTGTCAAGTTACCGAGTTTTACGGGAATGTCTTTGAGCAGTAGACTTCGGTAAGAACTGAATTAATGCTACCACAGTCGTAAGAAAAACCGCTGCGTCTGTTGCCCTAAGAGGAAAACAAACAATCTCGAGAGAGAAAGCCACAATCAGCACTGTAAGAGTCATACCTTACGCGATTGATACTGCCGTGTGTTGGCCGGAGGTGGTTTGCGAAACTGACATATAAGCCTGATGTTACGCATAGTGGAATGGAGCTGCCTGAAAGAAAAAAATGAAGATGCGCCAACATGATTGAAAACGGTGGTGTACGACCGATCATTGTAGTACAAACATAGTGCTTCTACTGAATTCTTATGTCCCGGAGATCGGATCTAGCGAATAACGAAACCGAATAAAACAGTGCTTAAGCGAGTAACTGGGGTCATTCAGCCACATGACAAGTCACGCTTCGAAGTATAAGCAATGAAACGCCGTCCAAGGGGACTGAAAAGGTAGGGGAGAAAGTTAAGAGCTTACTGCTGATAAACACGGAGTTGACTGGGAGACTAATACAGTGAACTTCAATGTGATCCAGTAAACAGCTACATTCCGAATTGTGGGGCCTGATAACAAAGTAGAAGTGGCCAATATTTGGCGAAGTTGATATGAATCCAATATGCAATAGACAAGGATCTAACTGTGCTGCGTCAAAGTCTAATTGTGTTGGATAACAGCTTATGGTATCGCAAAGAATCCAGCATGGTATTTAATAACATTGTGACACTCAGCTTCATGGAAAAAGTTGGGAGACACGGGAGTGAAACTCGGTTGAAAGATTCGGTCCATCTGCCGCCGACAGTGACTCTTCTCTATGAGCAGCACTGCACAATCATGAATAGACAGTGACTTGTCGATTGCTGAAATCGATTGCAGTTAGCCAGATGCATTTTTGGTGTGAAGTTGATCCCGATTATGGGCAACGGTATAGAATGAAAACAATAAGTACATATGAGGACGGAAAGTGAAGTTCCGTGGCACGTAATCACTCAGGCCGTTTAAGTGATTAACACAACCAAAGCGTGGACCAATTCTCTGAATGAATGGACGCTTGCTTACTGGGTGAATGGGGCGACGATCCCAAACATATGCATTAAGCACAACTAACCAGGCAGGGGGATCCATGTTGAACATGCGTTCCAGGACAACAACGGCACCTGTATAATTCTCTGATAAAACGCGAATTTCAAACAATGTAGCCAGATCCCAATAATCTGTTAATTTTGTAATATCACCTTTTCGGCCAATCTGACGATTGAGCATGTTACCTGAGAAGAAAGTGGAAAGCAGTCGGTTCATTTTGAGAGAAATACGAAGCAGCAGCAGCAAGCGATGACAAGGCATTCGTTCAAATACACTGCTGCTGAGTACTTAAACCACAGACGTAAACTATAGAGAATGGAATATAAGCAAACGTGAGAGCGGACAGAGATTACAGCAACCTAGAACCATCAGGAGAGACACATCACGATCGCTCTGACGATTTTTAAAAAGATGCACCACGAAAAAAGGCTGTAAGATGAAAGCCATGTGGAAATCAGTCACCTTAGTTTTCGGGATTTCGTTAAAATCCGCTGCATGATTATAGAGGGCTCAGAGAATAATAAAAATTGGTTGTTTTTAAACCAGTCTGAAATCATGAGTTCAGAACCGATTCTAAGCATATTTCAAAATGCTCAAAGCACCCATTGCAGCTTTGAAATTTCGTAACCTGTTATTTAGATTGACCATAAAACGCCACTGCGCTTTGCCCTTAAACTTGCAAGCGCTAGTAAACTTTCAAGCGAAGGACATTGTATTCGCTGGGTCTTCGGAGTTTGGGATGGAGTGGTGGATTTCGTTCATGCTGTGCAATACTGTTCATGAGGGATGATTAGCGTGCACTCATCATCATCATCATCATACACATTAGCTAGAGGTGAGGAACACCTCAGCTACTGTGCCGCAATACACAGAAAAAAGAGAAAGAAAGCAACTAGTGCAAGCCGGCTGAGCTACCGGTAACGGATGGGCATCGTTCCGGTAAGCTAACAGCCGGCTGCTGTGCACCCAAAAAGAAAAAAAATATTACGAAAGATTATATAAGGCCAAATAATGAGATCGTGATTGGAGGGGGAGGCTAAGAGGGATGGGGTGGGACAAAGCAACTCACAGCACGAACGCCACTGAGGTCGGCTTCTTGCCATATCAGCAAGTGTGTCCAACCAAACGTGTTCATCGTCTTTCGGACCCCAACCAGGGAGCGGAGACGCTCCAACCGAGGCCAGCTCAGAAGTGAGGGCCTTCACTGCTCTGGATCTAATCATCCCTTGGCCACCCCTCCTCTTCTTCTATCCACACCCCGAAGCGCAAACAATATACGTCGCAGGAGTCGGTGGGCTGGTATGCGTAACATGTGGCCCAGCCATTGGAGCCTGGTGCGTGAAATAACGGTGCTGAGCGGTTCAGTTCCTTTTCCTGTGCCATAAACAAGGCGTCGAACACGCGGTGTTCCCACCAGATGTGAGCTAACTTACGAAGGCACCGGTGGTCGAACGTAACTAGCCTCTTCAGGTCCGCTGCTTTAAGCGGCCAGGTTTCACAACCGTACAGTAGGGTCGAACCTACCGCTGCATTGTACACTCTACCCTTCAGGGTGAGAGTGATGTCGTGCCGGCGCCATAAGTAGCGAAGGTTAGCAAAAGCGCCTCGGGCTTTTCCCATACGGTTCGTGATCTCATCTTCAGTCCCACGAGCGCTGATACAACTTCCCAGGTAGTTGAATTTTTGAACCACCTCTAGCTGATCCCCACCAACGGTCAGCGTAGGAGGCGGTCCAGACCAATCTTGGAGAAACCCTTTGCACTTCGAGGGTGCGAAGCAAAGCCCGAAGTGACGGACAGCTAGTGCTACTCTGTCCAGTGCCGCTTGGCACGTTTGTGAGCTGTCACAGATCAGGGCAATATCATCAGCATACTCTAAATCAAGAAGTCGTTCTCCTGGGAGCAGATCCACACCTTTAAGTCGTGTCCTGTAAACGCGATTTCCATGACTTCGTCAACAGCGAAGTTGAAGAGGAAAGGTGACAGCGGGCATCCTTGTCTCACGCCGTTGGAGATATTAAAGGGCGGCGACAACTTGCCTTAAACCCTCACTCTGACCGAGCTACGCGCATAGAATGCTCAGATAATATTCACACATTTCTCAGGTACACCTTTCCTGAGTAGACAGCCCAAAGTGCATGCCTATTCACCGAATCGAATGCACCTTTGATATCGAGGAACACGACAACGGTGGGCCGCCAATATGTGTGACGATGCTCCAACAACTGACGCAAAGTGAAGATGTGGACAATGCAGCTACGACCTCGACGAAATCCAGCTTGCTCTTCGCGAATCTGGCTTTCACGAGTGCCAGTCAGTCTGTGAAGGATTATAGAGGCAAGCAATTTGGAGGCGATGGTGATCAGACTGATTCCTCTATGGCTGCCGCATTCCGATCGCGAGTTTCCTTTGAAAATTAGGACTATGATGGAGCGGCTCCAATCGGTTGGGACAGTCTCCTGCTCCGACAGTCTCACTAGTAACTCGTGTAAATCATCCACAAGAGCAGGTTCCCCGAATTTGAAGAGGGCTGGAGGAAGGTCATCAGGTCCCGCGGCTTTGTTCAACTTCAACAGTCCGATCTCATGTTCGACTTCTGAGCGAGAGGGTGGATCCAAAGGAACAGCCCACGGAGCAGGGCGTTCACTGGTCGGCGAGAAATCTAACAATTCCGACCGATTAAATTGCCGTTCAAAGTGCTCAGCCCAACGTTTCAGGCGTTTGGATAAGTTGTGGATAGGCTGTCCACTCTCGTCACGTATGGTTTCACTAACACCAGGTCTCATGCTGCCCGTTTCCCGTATAAAACGGAATAACTCACGATGGTTACTAAGGGCAGCGGCCATTTCCATCTCTGTTGCACGACGAGACCACCAGGATTCGCGGTCTCTCTTCAGGCTAGCACGGAGTTTCGCCCGGAACTCTTTGCGAGTTTCATTGTGTTCGCTTCCAGCCGGAATATGCCGGCGAGCATCTATAAGTTCCAAAGACTGTGAAGAGACCCAATGTTCATGTTGGCGATTAGACATACGATATGAGGATTTGCCTGCTGCTAGTAAGGCCTGTTGCATATGAGACCAGTGAGTTTCAATTGCATCGAGTGAGCGTTTATCCAACTCGGACGACAGCGTACTTTGATAGGCATTCAGAACATCTGCCTTCGCCAGTTGGCTGGTGTCAATGCGCTCACAGCGTCGTCGCGGGAGTCCGCCAAAACGCATCCGCAGGTCAGCACATACAAGTGCATGATCGGTGTCAACACCTGTGCTCCAAATCGAGCGACAATTCTGAACGCAGCCTCTCCATCGGTAACTACTAGCAATGTGATCGATTGGCGTCCATAGCTGGTTCGAGGCTGGTGGGCGCCAAGTCACCCTCCGGCGGGTGCTGTGTTTGAAATTAGTGCTCGCAAGAACTTGGCGAGCATCCTCACACAAATGAAGTAACCGCTCACCGTTATCATTACGGGAGTCTATACCATGTTGGCCGCCCAGATCCAGCTTATCTGTGGATAATTTTCCAACTTGAGCGTTCTGATCCCCATACAGCACTACAGTGTCCGAGCTTCTTCTGTGGCGAATGAGTTCGTTCAGTTGGCGATAGAAGTCGTTTTTTACCAAGTCATCGCTACAGTTTGTCGGTGCATAGGCAGCGATAACGAATAGACACCTGTTAGTCTCACGGGACTTCGACGTTTTGAACGAGCCAGCCAATTGGACCGCACACATCTGGCTACTGACTGGAATCCAATCAAGCAGAGCAGCTTCAGCCCGGGGACTCAGGGCAATACCAACACCGGCTTGGCCGGTGCTCGAAGCTGCATCGTCACCGGATAGGCGCAACGAGAAAGTGCTGCTAGTGTCACCTGAAGGGGATCGCAGAGTGAGTACAGAGCTCGAGTCTTGCAGGCGGGTCTCCGATAAGCAGCAGATATCGATCGATAGGGTCTCTAATGTTCGGGCAATTGCTGCATGTTGACCGATTTGTAGTAGTGTGCGTACATTGAGGCATGCCAGTCTGAAGGAGGATCGAGGGCTCCAAATGGAAGCCGATGAACTGGAATGGGCCGCTTGCATGGACATGGGCCTGTTGAGAGTGCAGGAATGAGGCTCTGCGTTCGCCTGTGAGTTGAAACTAAAAGACAAGCGACTACTGAAGTAAGGTGGAGGAGGGCCGAGAATTGGGGGGTTGAAAATAGGGGGATAAAAGTGAAACTGGAACGGGACGATAAGGGTGAAAAAGCGCAAAAAGGGGAATAAGAAGATGGGAAGGCTTGAGCAGTAGCAACCAATCTCCTATCCACCCTGCCCGATGCAGCAGATAGGGCACCGTTGATTATCCTCTGCGGTGGCCAGTGCATCAGAAATTTGGGGAAAGATTCATTGTATTGCGTGGGCAGGATACTGTCAGGTTGCCCAGGCCTAGACAAGAGAACGATTAGGGTTCTCAACCAAAGCCTTTGGTTAAAAAACCTGTCCGCAAGGCAGCGGGTTTGGCATTGGGCTATAAGGAGTCCGTTTTAAGGAATAAGGAGCCACTTTCATTCCAACCCCCAACCTGGAGGACCAGGAGGCTGAGTTTGTCTGGCCTCTAATCTTTGACCAATCTGGTATGAGTGGCTATGAAGGTGCAAAAGCACCACCCAGTATAGCTCAATGGATCACAGAGGCACACAAACCATCGCACCACGGTAAGGTCCAGCCTCATTGCGATGGATTAGCGTGCACTAGCGAGCATCAGTATGCCGAAGTGATCGCTGTTCACCGTATGACATAACAACCAGAACAGCAGCGAGCAAACAATACGTGAGCGCCATTGGAGCAATGAACTGATGCTTCCCTGCCGTATAACCAGGACGGCCTATAGGAATAGATGGTCGCTTAAATAGTGCACTATGATGGAATATACTCAAACTGATGTTTCTTAACACTCGCACTTTAGTCCATAAAGTGCACTTGCTCCGTTGCTTTGTCACGCTTCATCAGCTAACGTATACTTCAAATCACCGAATGGTGTTGTACGAGTGAGATTGTGCATCAGCATACTGCTACCTAAGGTATCTATTTCTTCGGAGAAAGACCATTGTCATGGTAGAGGAGGTGGCTGCATCGAACAACTAACACACGAACAATTTAGGTGCTTCATACTGTGGTTACGGGCAGCTTACGTACCTCGATGAATCCACT